AGTGCTGAATTCAAAAAGTTTCCTACCTTTTAATTTTTTGGCATCGATAAATCATCACAGCAAAATGAGAAACATGTTATTGTCTATAATTTCATTAATTTGTCAGATTTTTGTTTTCTAAACACAACAGACTAATATGGCTGTTTTTCCACGTGGATATCTTCCCTCTTAGTTTAGAAAAAAATCTGTCCATAAGGACTTCATTTAAAAAAAAATCTCCCAACACACGACAATATAAAAACTACTGCAGTTGCTCCAACAAGCATAACTGGGCTGTCAAGATCAATGACGCATAAAATATAAAAGAAGAAGTCATTTCATTGTTCCTATGGATTTTCTGAACCAAGTAACACCGGGCTCAGCAGATGCAGAAGCTTTTGCATGCCGGTGCAGCAGCGTAACATCAAGTCTTAAACCTGCAACAGCCAGAACAAACCAAATGTACAGAAACTAGGACAGATCAGCATTGCTGTTGTTTTGAACACATGCTCACTGCAATGACAGGCCATAAAGTTTCCCAAACTCTGTTTTTATTTGCACATGGACACACATAAATCAGTTTTTAAAAAGCAACACTTTTGAAGGCATTTGAAGAAAATCTATTACCCCAAAACCCCCAAACATGGAGGAAAGTGTCCTGCAAAATATCCATATTAGTCTGGACAAGGAGTAAATCGTCTGCAAACCACCGTCTATTCAATTCCTTCCTTCTAGACAACCAAGTAAGCACACACAAAAAAAACATCAACTGTTTGACTGAAATGTGACCTGGGGCATGTGTAGTACAGAAACATGAGGGGAGGATTCATCCATCTACTACACCTACTTTATCCCATGTCTGAAAGAAGAGGAGAGGCAGAGTGCACCCTGGACCTGTCGCCAGTCCATCACAGAGTCAAGGATCACAGCATTCAGAAAACGGAGGCACAATCAGAAGAATGACTCGTAACAACCTGTTTGTAGGCTACGCAGCCAGCAGCTGCTCATTACTATGTGCAGCTTCATGTAATGTGAGAGTCTGATCGATTATAGACTGGAATCAATACCATTGAACATGCCTGCCCGGATGCTAACTCAATTGTGAGTGCACACACGCACTAATGCAAAGGCACACAGAGACACACACAAAACCAATACTCTTCTATATGGGCACATAACGGCAGTAAAAACAAAAACTAATACATACATTTAAAAACACACAGCATGTGCTATTTTCTATGCACAGTTTGCACATGGGAGCCGACGGATCACAGAGACTGTTGCCTTGGAGGACAGAATAAGTCAGATTATCAGAATAACAAACACTTAAATCACCAACAGCTGCAGAGTTCAAAAACAGCTGAACCATCCTTTTCATGATGTAGCAACAGAATATTTGTGCATCAAATCAGACCTTTGAATGTGTAGAATTATCCACCATGCATGCAAGAAAACACACACACACACACACACACACACACACACAGATATATGAGAGTGAAGCCTGTAGAGACAGAGAGAGGGTGAGGAAGGCTTTGTTTATTGTCAGTGCCACTTGCTCCCGTCATGCCCTGTGAAGCAACTGAAGCCTGTACTACATACACAAACATGAAACAGCGGCCAAATCTGAAACTCATGAGCATGATTTCAGGTCTTCTTTGCTCAGGTTTTAGTTATTTCACAATACTGGTGATATTTCTGTAAATGCGTAAATATTCTGATACAACTGAAATAAACAACAGTGGTTCAAAGACCTTTTAGATGTTGTGATAATGACATATATGCAGAAAACTAAATGCACCTAAATGAGCAACAAAGTCAAGCCAGGACTTTTTGCACTGATACTGTAACACCGAATGTCCTTTGCATTGATAAATAAAATCATATTCTGTAATAAATCAATGAGTTGGACAACCTACAGGTAATATCTGATATGAGGAGGAGAATCAAGTGCGAGTTACACAAATGCAGCACAAAACGAAACCAAAAACAGCCGGAGACACTTGAGGAGTTTCATATTGTTCTAGTGGCCTGGAGGTCAGAGTCCAGCTCTGATCACTGATCAACTTATCGGCAGCGTCGTCTCTGTGAAAATGTTCATTCAGTCACAACTCAGCAACTTAAAACACTTAAAACATAAAACATTGAGTTGCAGTTTACAGATTAAATATCCTCCTTATGCTAAGTTTAGATAAATATATGTTGCTTATTATGTGTAACACAGAGAGAATCTAGCCTGTAAACAAGCTAGAATTTATATATAATAACACTGCTATGTTCAGAAAGTGGATATGTCAATATGCTTCTGATCAAACTGAGCACTTACTATCTGAGCACATTAAAAACTTTTTCAGAATTTTCTAAACTGTGAACTCGTCATTAGGAAACTCTGCTTTCACTAACAGACGTCATAAAGCTGTGATTAATTCTGTGAGTTTGTCGTGCGACCAGCAAACCTGCTGCTCTCTGGATGACTTTTAACAACAGTTGTTATTGAAGCAGAGTAAACAGTTGGCTGGTTAGACCTCAGGTGACAGAGCAGCTCCAGGCCTGCTGACTGTGCACTCGGCGTGTGTGTGAGCAGTCATTCAGAACCACTCCCCTCCCAACACACACACACACTGTGTCAGAACCACAACAACAATACATGACAGCTCAAAGTCCAGCTCTGACCAAGACAGTGGCATCAAACTCATCACTGTTTGCTCATCAACACACACATTACTCAGGAGTTTATTAGATTATTATTATTACTGTTGGTGCTTTAGCATTATATCGTCTACAAAAGAGAAAAAACAAGTCAGATCCCGATAAAACAAACAGATTGTTTACAATTAATAATCAAACAGAGCAGCAGCCTCACTGTCTACAATAAAAACACTTTTTATGATTCCCAGACTGACACAGAGATAATTAGTTATTTATGTTAAGTATGGCAGTTCAATACCTGTTTACATCAGGTCTGTATTTTATAATGCTCCTACTTCCAATATAAGCTAAAAAATAAAAAGTAAAGAGGATTATTCTGCTACGAACTCACTTTGTACATGTCAGTTAATGTAAATACAGCTCAGACTGGTGTCAGGCTGCGCTTTTAAATCTGCTGTCAGGTTGGAACAGAGTCTGTCAGTCACTTACCTTTGCTTTGGTTCAACCAGTCCATAACCAGTCCACAGCCGGATAAACATCCCATGCCGGCCGGCCGGCCGGGCGGACACGCTGGTTTCACACCACACGCGCAGCCAGCACACACACACACACACACACACACACACACACTGAACACAAACACTGGTTTTGTATTTCCCCTCTCTTCACAGTGAGATTACTCCTGTGTGTGTGTGTGTCATCTGCGTTTAATGACAGCTGACAAACTACATGCCACAAATCCTCCCTCTCTCTCTTCCCCTCCCCCCATCACGTAGACACACACTCCTCCCACAACACACACACTCCTCCCTGTCTCCTCCCACAACACACACACTCCTCCCTGTCTCCTCCCACAACACACACACTCCTCCCTCCTATTAGCCGATGTCTAGAAAAAAACACACACACACACACTCACAGCCTTTCTAGGTAGCCAGTGAGCATTGTTTCATGTGAATCTAAACATATATTGATCATTACACTCATTAGTACAAAACTACTGAAGCTAAAAAACATTTAGATCTGATGAAAATGAGCAGATTTATTCCTGCCTTCACTCCTGCAAGTGGTAAAAATCACATGCGTAGTGATAAAACACTGATAAAATCTCCCTGACTTTCAGTTTCATGTGTGATATTATTCATTACCAGCATTACTTTTTATTTTTCCGTTCTGGTCTTACTGTGTTTGTAGTCATGTGTCACACTTATTGCTTTTCTACCAGACACTGTATTCCTTACATTATGTCACTTTGTGTATCCTGAGCAACATCTAGCAAAAGATTTTGGTTTCATTAAGTTTTATATTATCTTCATAATAAAATAATAATTAGTGGATGTAAACATAAGAAACAGAGCAGCATGTGGAAGCCACAACATTTTATGCATTTGTGATGAATAAGAAATAGAAATACATTTACGAGTCAGTTTCCTGGGCCCACTAGAGTTTCAAAATAAAACTAAATACTGTGAGAAACAGTGAAACCAGCAGGTGACAGAGAAAGACTATGACTGTACATTCATCCCTGGTTTGATAAGAGCCACACACGGCAAGATGGCAGAAAACACAAGTGAAATGAGTGCGAGTGTAAAAGACGGAGAGAGAAAAAGGTAATTTTACAAATGACTAAAGCTCTAAGTGCTGCTGGAAGCAGCTGTGCTTCACACACACACACACACACACACAGGACTAAGAAAAGCACACAAACACACACAACTAACCGTCTGTGTCACTTGAACACACACACACATGTTTCTGTGCTTTCACTTTCCACGCTGCCATGTCAGGATGTCCCTGTTTGCTTTATCAGCTTGTTGCACTTTCAGGGAACCAGTTTCGATGCTCTGTTGTATAAACTGTGGCAGCGTTTCTCAACCTTTGATCCAACTGTGCTCGCTTTTGGCTTCTAAAGTTCTCGTAACCCCACCTCTTCTTTTGTCTGATTATTATCTTTTCTTTAAAACTATACCTCTAAGTCCACTAACAGTCACAGGCTGTGGTGCTGTAAAGTAAAACCTGGTATTTTTCATGCTACTATGCAACTTTCCATCTAAATCTGAATCTTTTATGTTGTGACCAGAACTTTGAACACGTTCTACAGACATGAACGGCACGGTTCAAACCTGCTAACACAAGTTTTTCCATCAAAAAGTCACACTAAACCTTCACTTCTGACTCAGGAAGGACCTGTGAACTTCTGTGTAAAATGAATGTTGGTATGTTTGGAGTAATTATCAAACATTAACTCACTCGCTTATCAAAGGCCCATAAGATAAAATGGTCAATAGAATGAAAGAAACTGTTTCTAAAAGACGCACAGAAGAAAAGAACAGCCCAAATACAAAATAATATAACTTAAAGAGTTCACTCACCTCATATGCAAAGCTTCCTCAGTAAACATCCACAGAGATTTATCTGGCAGCATCATTCAGTCCACTCTGGAAGACACAAAACAAGAACAATGATTCATATGATAAAGACTGACCTGCTTTTGTACAGCTTTGGGGAATTTATTTAAAAAATGGCCAAACAATGCAGCAGATGACAAGGTGTCCACACTTTTCATTCCAATGGCTCCAAAACTATTGGATCTTAAAATCTCCTGTAATGCAATTCAACAAATTAGAAGTTTGTCAGTTGATGCAAAATCCAGGTTTTGCTAAAACCTGTCCAACCCCATGCTGAGACAACCCAACCTTCAGCCAGCATTACTTTCTCACAGTCTGAGGAGTACTTTCCAGAACTAGTGAGATAACATGAATGTGAAGAACTCCTGGACTTTCCCATTAATGCTGAATGGATTTCAGCATCTAGAGATCATGTTCAAGAGCTAAAGTGAATGATTAATGTCTTGTTTCCTGGGTTGATGCACACACGAGTGAAACACATCACCTCGCTGCACCACGGGAGTCAATTCGTCATCAGGTTTAACCAGAGCCACACCCAGGATCACATGTATGAAAGTGTGTGCATGATAAATATGCTTTGTTTTCACAGTGTAAAATAATTTAGCAGCACTTCATCTTACACATCACACACACACCGGTTAGGCTGGAAATCTCACTCTTGCCCACAATAACAAGAAAACCTGCAGCTTTTCCCAGACAGTGACCCTGCCTGGGAGGACGCTTTGGAGAGCTTTGAGGCCTTTTTCGCGCTGTGAGCCTGACCTGGACCAGTATGGTGCTGGTCCAGGTTCATCGGGTTCCCACTGGCTCCAGTTCACATTTACAAACATCCTATTTTTTGAAACAGTTTGCCTCCCTTTATTTGAACAGCTGAAACCTACTTAAATCCATCTCTAACAAATGCCTGTTAGAGCTCTGCTGCCACTGATACGTCCTAACATCAGATCATACGTCTGCCCTGAAGCAGAGACACTGGAGGAGTTCACCTGCTGATTGGATGTCAGTGACTCTGTCCCAGCCCACCTTGTCTTTTGCAATCTGGTAAAAAAATAAATAAACGTATTTTCAGGAAATGCTTCACGTCACTTGTTCTCTCCAGTGAATCACATTACCTCTCCCACATCTTCTTTCTTCTCTCATCGTACAAAACTTCTTGATAAAAAACATGACTAACTGTAAATTAGATTTTAGAGTAAACTGAAATCTGGTTTATCAGGACCACCATGCAGTCTAATGAACTAGAAAAGGGTGCCAGGTTTATTTTTAGAATGTAACCGTCGGTTAACCAGATTCAGCTTCCTGCAGGAAGCTGCCACTGTTTTTCCACAGTGAAATCACAAAACAGGAAAAAAAGGTTTGTGCATAAAAAATGCTTGGTTTAGTAATCATTTAGGTTCCAGCAGTGAATCCGTATTAATTACAGTAAAAGAGACCTTGTTAGCAAATCTTTAATGTCACTAATGTGCGTCTGTATGTGTGTGTGTGTGTGTTTGGGTCAGAAGTGTGACTGTAATCAGAAACACCAAATGAAAAGCAGCAAAAAGAAGAAGTTCGTTTTTTTCGTCAGCAGTCAAATCCAAACATCTGCTGCCTCTTCTCCTCGGTGTGTGTGCATGGTCACTGTGTGTACGTACGTGTGTGTGTGTGTGTGTGTGTGTGTGTGTGTGTGCGTGTGTGTGTGTGTGTGTGATGCGTGAGGCAGCAGCCTTCTCAGTCAGTTGGACACGGCACAGTCAAACCACACAACACTTAAACATGCACCTGCCACTGCTGAGATAGCTGCATATGTGTGAGTTTGTCAGTTTGTCTGTGCATCAGAGTGTGTCATTGTGTGTGTGTGTGTGTGTGTGTGTGTGTGTGTGTGTGTAGGAGGGATGGACAGCTGATCTCTACCCAACTGCTTTGTGAATTGCACAAGCACACATGCAAGCACAAATGTTGTCCACAGTGACAGTAAGACTTCGTGGCAGGGATCCAGCTCAGTTTGTGTTCTTGAAACTTATGTAGGGCAGAAGCATGGAAGAAGCTCATCAATAATAACAGCAGAAAATACTGTCTTCTCTATTTTCTCAGGGCTCAAAACATTCTACAGTGTACGAAGACAGTGAGACTGAAACTACAGAGGAAATACAGCACTGGATGAAACTATGTGTTGGCTGGAAGCAGCACTGTTTGCAGGATGTGTACACTGTACTAATTGGACTGTTAATTTGACTTTTGGATCAGCGTTATTTTACAAAGTACAAAACTTGCAAATAAGCTGCTGGAGACTGTTTGGAAAAATAAATAAGGAGCCCTTATGTACAGTGTGGTTTGCACTTTGCCTTCAGCAACAGTGAGAAAAAACACAAAAGGAACAAATTTGCACAAACTAAGACACAGCACGCATGTTTGAGACCTAATGTTGGAGTTAGCAAAGGAGAGTTTCATTGTTAATTATTTGCATAGTAGACACTGTGGTAAGCCATCACACACACACACACACACACACACACACACTCTCTGTAAGACAGAGGGAGGCTGGAGTGAGAGCGAGCCACAGAAAGTCAATGAGAGCCACACAGAGAGACGGCCTACTTCCTGACTGTGATTAATTTCTGTTACAAAGCAGCTCTATGGTAACGCAGACATCCACAGCTACACCGAGCTTGGAGCTGGTGTACTGTACCATCGCACGACACAAGTTGACCACATCCATAATCCTGGGCAGAATCACCAGGTATTTAACCACACACATAAAACACTCTTTCAAAGTTGACAGTGATTGATGTCATTTTTTTCATTAAAAATGTGGCAATAGTCAAACGTAAACTACTATAAATGAAAGCGTTCATCATGTCCTGGAATTCCTGCTGCAATCAGCTGCAATCAGCTGCAATCAGCTGTCCATCTGAAGTTTATTCTAAAGTCGTATGTAAGGTACAAACTGTTCACCTGTGGATCTGATGTGCAACATGTCCTTTCCTTCACACTTGATTTTGACCCCTGAACAATGACAATAAAGCCCTTTTCAGACATGGGATAAGGACCGCTGCTGCTTCATCAGTCTGCTAAAGTGAAAGCTTCTGTCATTCAGACATGGGTCACTGTTCCTTCATTCAGACTGACCCACTGCAGTGAAGGAGAGAGCCACATTGTGCGCACAATATTTGTCATTCAAGCAACACTGGAGAGTGCATCACGTGACAACAATGCAGTTATAAACAAGACAAAAGGTAAACCAACATTTAACTTGGCTGCTAATTGGAAAATAACTAAAAGCCTAGTTTACTTATGATTTCCTTTATCACTGACAGTCTGGATCATCTATCTTCTGCCTTACCAACAGCATGAGGCAACACCATGAGAGACGACGGCAATGTGATTTAACTGCAGCTTATAAACTGTGACTGTGTCATTTACCACTAGATCCTGACCCAGACAGATCCTGTCTCCATGTTGGGGATAATTCATAATTACAGGATTTTAATGAAGTTACTGGGGCTATACTTCCACCAGCACAAATGCAACTCTCTTGCTTTGGAGACGCTCATATGGATCCTACTGCTGTCTGATTCTGCAGATATTTAATAACTTACAGGAAACACTATGAACCAGCTGGAAGCTCAACTCCAACTCCTGCTGAACTCTGATGTAATTATGAAAGTTCCTTTCTGTCCTGTTGCGACTAATATTGGTGGTGAAATATTGGTGAAGTCTTTCTCAAATGACTCGACACTTGAAAACTTCAAAACTTGTTCCATGGACAGTGGCACAGAAATGCTCGTGGGTCCAACATAGTGCGATTTCAGTCGCAGCTTTTACGTGAGCAAGACATGAAGCAGACACCTTCAGATGAACAGAGAAGAGTGCATGAGTGTCAAAGAGTTTTTCAACAATTTGTCTGTGTTCTGCCAGAGAACAGCTTCTATTTTGACAACCGTCCTTTATCCTCAGATGGCTCACAGCATGGACCCCCCTGCCACAGATGTGTGATACTGAATCAGAACACAACAAGCCAAGCTGTGCTGGCCTCAAAGGGTCTTTGATTGCATCTGGCAAAAAGAAAAGTTGTCTGCTGACTGAAGTTTGAATATTTCCTAACAGCTTGACATAATAACATGAGTACAATTAGTCTACAGAGCTTTAGGATCAAAACAACTGATAAGCGAGTGTGACACACTGATTTGATTAAACACTGAAATCAATTTTGGCAACAGTGCTGCACAACCTCCCGTCTGCCATCGTAGCAACAACGATCTGTCACCAAAAGGTAGCGATGAGCACTTCAGCTCTGGCCATGGCCCACGTTTGTTCTGCAAAAGCTTGTTATGCTATTAACTTGTATTATCCAACTGCAGGCCGATGGAGTCTCTCCCTCTAACTCAGCTCTGCTGTCATAGTGCTGGAGAATTACAGCCGTCGTCAGCTCCAGCTAACCAAATTAGCACTTGTTATGCAACCTGCTGCACTTGGCTCCCAGGTCTGGTGCTTCAACCCTGCACAGCTTTCATCATGGTTTGCAGGAAGGCTCTGTACAGATGACTGTACATATATTTGTTTTGTTCCTTATTTAGGCCCTTAAATGTTTAGGTTTGGTGTTCAACAGAAGTTCAATGTTAAGCTGCTTTTTACAAATGCAGTCAGTTCAAACTTTCTACCACCAGGAATCCAGGAAACCAAGAGGTTGGAAGTTCTAATATCAGCCACATGCACCACATAATGTTCACATTTGTTGAACTGTTGATTCACATGATCAGCCAATAGAAACAGTGCTGTCTTGATGTTTCTTATAGCGGAAAATAGGAGTCACTGACTCTCACTGACAATGACTGTTCAGTCACTAATTTTACGTCCACGCTGTGATTTCTCTTCTTGTTTCTGTGCAAAACAAATGGGGCACAAACAGTGAGCATCATTGAGCTTTAAAGGATCATTTTTTTCAAGTTTGTACTAAAAAACAACAGTCAGGTGTCCACATGAACAACTGCTTTATTCTCTTCCTTCATAACATGCTTTCAACTGGACTAATTCTAAAGTTCATCTGAAGCCAATGTGAGCCTGAAATAATCAGATCAATTCTTCCAAAGTTACAGTCATTTAATCCTCTTCAGGTATCCTTTGGTACTGATTGTCCAGCGGCTACATGATGAGACCTCACAGCTCAGTGACGGCCTGGTCTGCTTATCTTTCACACTATTATATCTTAATGTGGTGAAACAGCTTTTGGCTACAACCCTGCACGTAAACATCAACAACATTAAAACCACTGACAGCTGAGGTGAACAACACTGATCATCTCTACAATGCTATGGTCTGCTGGGGAACCTTGGGTTTCGGCATCGATGTGGACGTTACTTTGACGCGTACCACCAACCTAAACGTTAATACAGCTCACTACCGCATGGCAACAGCAGGACAATGCAGCACACTGGAAAAACTGCCAGCGCCAGACACCACAGGACACCCCCAGATGTTCTGTGTCCACGCCAAAACAGGTCCGAGCAGGTTAGAGCGACACACGGGTCACCTACACAGCATTAGGGGGTGGTTTTATTGTTGCGGCTGATCTTTCCACAATGCATGCTAACCAACCAATACTGCTAACCCTTCTGCTATTGGCCTCTCAAACAATTCAGTTAACATACAGACTCCTCTGTCCTGAAACTACAAAAACATCACTCACTGTAGTGTCCCACGATGTTTAGGTGGAAAAACGGTCTGAAAATCTGTGACCCAAGAAACCTCGACATCTGAATAAAAGACTTTATCATCACACAATGAAGAAGAACATCCTGTAGATAAACTTTGCAGTGATTATAGTGTTCAGGCACCACAGGAGGCTTCACAGAGGAGTCATGACATGGCTGAGTGTGTGTGGTGGTTAATTAGAGCACTTGGTCTCAGGAGGATCAGACCTGGAAGACGACCGTCTCTGCTGCGTGACAGAAAGCCAGGGGCAGTGTGTGTCTGATAAGTTGGTGGCAGCCAGAGGAGTCAGATATCAACAAACACAGATTAGTCGGCAAGCAGGCACACCTACACCTCGGTGAAAGGTACAGGTGAACAGTGGAACACCTGGAAAAACATTCCCAAATTAAAGACGGATCGACTTGCGGGTGTCACATACTCATTTGCCCAAAACCTGAGTGCCAGTTCTAGTTTCTTCTTAGATCTTCTTAATGAGTAATGCTGATCACTGCTGTTCGGTCACACCTGAATTGTTGACAAAACCAATTTTACCTGGCTAGCTTGTACTCGTCTAACTGCATACCAGCAGCCGAATGAAGTTATATTAAACACTAGAAAACTGAACATCTCGTGTTGCTTTTGTGCAGATTCTATATTTTGTCACTGCCTTCTGTGTGATTCTGTCTGTTACACTCATCTCCTTATCATGGATTCAATTAAAAAATAACTCACATGAAAAAGCTTTCAAATCAAGTGCAAAGTTTTAAATCCAGCACAGGAAACAGATCAGAGGCAGGTTGATCACATGTGTCTCTATTGCACATATTTGCTTGTTGAGGGTTAGACCTTGTAGAAAAGCTGCTATGAAGAGCTGCAGAGTGGAGCCTCTGCCCTTCCTCCTCCTTCTCCTCCTCCTGCTGCTGCTGCTGTCATTGGTCAGGACATTATTTGAGCCCTCACGTGGTTCAGTGAATTCAAGCCACTAAGGATCCCTCGCTGGGCAAACCGCCAATCTCATGTTAAGATCTTGGTCTTAAGTACATTCCTGCACTCTTGCTGCAGCACTATATGGTAGTTTGGCATTGAAAGAAATGGTATTGAAGCATACTGATACTTAACCAGATAAATCACTACGATAGAGCTTTTAAAAAAAGATCTTCATTATAATAAAGCCATTAAAAACATAATTAAAAACAAATCCAGCTTGATCATGTAATGCTAAAAAAAAATAAAACATGCATAATGTTTGTTGTTACTGAACCTTGTCGGGGTCCGAACAGGAACTATGGTGGCTAAAACTGAATTGGACTGATTGTAATTCACAGCACTTTGGCTCAACTTCTGTTGTTTCAAATGTGCTATATAAATAAAAGTGACTTTATTGGAACTGTCAAGATGCATTAACTGCAAAAAAATAAACAAATAAAAAATGCTGTCATTCTTCAAAAGAGAACAAAGCAGCAGAAGAATCAGTGAAGGAAGCTTCAACACACAACCTGGAAACTTGGTGTGCATGTTGCAATCCTTTTCAAAGTTCACTTTGGGGAGCAGGAAAGAGCAAATACGCCTATAAGAGCCAAAAAACCATGAGTCCAGCCCTCAGAGATAACATATCCAGAGAGTCAGATGGCACCTGTCACGTAGGCAAACTGACAGGTTTCCTACAGTAACATACCAGCACAACAGCAAACAGACAAACCAGCACAACAGCAAATAAAGACAAATTCTTATAGCTGCACTGACAATGGCCCGCCTGCCTGTCACACAATAAGGTTGGAGCTGCACCACATTTCTATTCAGCATAAACTTGTACAGCATGTTAAGTCACAACCCGGCAGCTCAGTCTGTGCCATGTCAACAGCATACATGCATGCACAGCATCGATGGCCAGTGTGACCCAGAAAGTGAGATTCTGATGGAGTCACAAAATGCAAGAACGTGATGCTTTAAACTGGAGAAATATGGAACGAATCGGACACTCAGCAGCACAAATAATCTAAGTTTTGGCTGTTAAGAGGATGCAAATTAAGCTTTTAACTGACTGCCACACAGAAGGCGAGCTCTCATTAGGTTTACATGACTGCATGTTTGATGTAAATTCTGGTTTTCCAAAATAAATGAATGCACATGGTGTCCGTCAACACAAACCAGCAGCGCTCTGTGAAGTAATAAGCACTTAATTGACTTTACTGAATGAAACTAACTGTATTTTAGTTGTTGTCCTGCCACCTGTCTGTAATTGACTTCTTCCCCACCATACTGTGCTTCACCTGCTTTAATTCCCACTGGGATCACTGGGATCACTGGGATCACTGGGAGTTCATTGAGTGGGATTGTGCTCCAAAAATAACACTTTACTTTATATAACTGCCAATTTATTCTGGATAATTTTTATTACTGCTTGTTTGCAACAAGCAGAGACAAGCATCTCTTCATATGACTGCACAGAGCTGCTTGACAAACTTGACTGTGTCAAGTTAGCAAACTTTAGGAAGCAGACAGAACGCCGGTCTATTTACTTTTCAAAATAAAAGCAACAAAGACAAACATGCTACAGGAAAAACAAGAAATACTGGCTATTTATTTCTCAATAAACACTGCAGCGAAGAAAACTCTAGAATTTAAATGTTGACACCTTGTAACCAAATAATTGTGACCAAAGTACCGTTTGGAGTTTGTAGTGTAATCAGGTGTGTTAGCATGTTAGCATTACAGGTAACATCCCAGCAAACAGTCAATGGACAGTCAATGGACAGGTCAACAAGCACTAACCTTCAGGAAACCTTTGGAAAATAGACTGAGAAACATGATTTACAGATGGGTTTATACACATATATATTACTGTATATTAAAGACATCACTTGTTTTTCTAAATGTGCTGTGGGTTTTGGCTTCAGAGTATAAAATCAGTCATTTTGAGGCCTTAATAACATTTCAGTCCTAATGTAAGAAGCTTTGCTAAATCTAATATATAATCTCATATATTTATGATTGGAAAATATACAAAGAGACTGTAATGAATGAAATCTTTATTTTGATGTCATTTATTAACATTTCAGTCACAACTTAAAGGAGCTGCGATCACATTTTGGCAGGAGAAAAACTGCAGTATATGAGTTGAGGTTAAAGCTATTTAAACTGGTCAAAACCACTAAATGCAAACAGGAAACAGGCAGTATGTAGAGTTGTTTCCCATGTTTAGTCTGATATCATTAATTATAGACAAATGACAACATAACACATGGTTTGGGGATTTATATAGAACACATATTTATTTATTCATTCATTCGTTTTAGGGAAATGAGCTCAAGGTTATAGCCTGGCAGCATAAAAACCATTTTTTAAGGCTTTAATAACATTTCAGTCACGACTTAAAGGAGCTGCAGTCAGATATCAGCAGCTTTAAATGAGCTGAAATGTTCCTTTAAGGTTTTTCTAAACAGCTGATTTGGTTGTAGTTCAGGGCACAGAGCAGGTGAACAGGAGCAGAGCTGCTCACCTTCTGACACAAACACCGGATTTGTGGGTTTCTGTTGTTGAACTTGACGCTTGAGCTGCTTGAGGAAGTCCGAGCCGGTCCGGGACCAACCGAACCACCACACGTTCACCTCAGTCACACAAACAGCTTTCAAATAAAATGACATTAAAACAAACAGCCTTGTAGTCATATTACAGTTAATTATAACTTTGACAACAAACAGTCGCTTCACGGTTCGCCCCGAACCGATCAGGAAGGGTTCTGAGGCTGAAGCGGACCCGCTCGGTCCGGGTCTGAGCGGTCCTCACACGGTTCTGGAACACGTTAAACAAACACAACCGCTTCTTCCACCTTCAACCGAACCCCGGCACCGGTTCGTTTTGCATCTAACCGACGGAAAGTAGCTTTTACCGGGTTAGCTAGCTCCGGTTTAACCCGTCCGCCTCCGGTCCGCCTCCGGTCCGGTACTGATGGCTGTCAGTCACCGTTCAACCGGCACAAATCCGGGTCCGCTCGGTAACAGTTGGTAAAAAAGGCTGAAAACACCCCGGAGACTGGTTCATTACCGGCACGTTAACCCTCCGGTGTGTCGGTTTAATAACGGTACCGACACCGGAGAGAAGATAAACGCTCCTATAAAGTTTTCGGTTTATTTATGTTTGAACCCGGAGGTGGGATTAACGGAGGGCTGTCGCTGAGCACAAACACCAAACTTACCGGGAGTTGAGCGACCGTGCTGGGCGGGATGTGGCCGGTGAGGAGGCGGCGGTCAGCGGGACGGAGGAGCGGCGGCGGCGGCGGCGTCCAGGGCCGGAGCCGCCATGTTCGTGTGGCTCAGAGGCTCCTCGGCTGTTTGTGGTCCCGGTGAAGCCCCCTCCTCCTCCTCCTCCTCCCGCTGCTCCTCCACCTCCACCTCCGCTCCGCTGGCTGCCGCAGAGCCGCCGGTCGCTCCACACACACCTGATCCAAACTGAGTGTGTTTTCTGTTTACTGGAGGTTTAAGAAAGAAAAAACAAAACTAATAATATCAAATAAAATGATATAAGTCTTTCATTCAGCCTTTATTTTTAATCACATTGAGGTTTGATCAGATCAACTTTGTTCATCTCACTGAGGACATGCGCACATTACAGCAGGTACATAGAAATAAAAAATAAAGATGTAGTAAAGCTCTGTGCACTTTTCACATGTACAGGTATAACATGAATATACATATAGTACATACAGATATGCTTGTTTTATCACATATGACAGTTTATGATATGGACAATATGATGTGTGTTTATGGACCGGTATGACATCATGACTTTACACATGGATGTCTATCAAATTGTGTATTTATATATATACATGTACAGGTATGACATAGTGAATATATACACACAGATACAGATGGATATAAATATAGATATATAGCTACAGGTGTGATGGATCATTAACCCACTGAAGGACAAACACGGTGTGTAAAACTGTACTTTTATACACAGCAGTAATTCTACATCTCTGTTATTCCAGACATGAAGTTGTCCAGAGAAAAGACTCGTATTAACAGAATGTTATTGCACCTGAACAGCTGTAAGAAAACTGTTGAATCAGTTACTGATCTGGGATCTGCATGGATCTGAATCCGTTCTGGATCTGGAGGAGCGATGAAGAGGGAAACATTGAGTTACGTTCTTATTTTGTGAGCTGTATAGACACAAACAGTGTGATGTGTGTTTACACCTGAAGAGCTGTTACATGATGAAAATTGTTGCACCTGAAGGGTGTTGAAGAGAAAACAGTTAAAATATGTTATTGCACTTGGAAAAGTTATTTATTAAAAAAAGAAGAAGTTGTTGCACAATCTGATTGAATTGGAGGCTCAATTTGTTTCACACTCAAGTTAAAAATCAATGTGAGCACCAAATAAGAAGCTTCGATAAGAATAAAAATGCAAACACTAAATGGCAAAATGTAGTACAATAGAAAACAACATTAAGAATAATTGAAGCATTTAAAAACTGAGAACACATCAATCATCTATAAGCAAGAACAGCTGGAGGCAAAATAAAACCAAATAAAATGTAAATAATACAAATAAAAAACAAGTCAGTGTGACTGGAGTGTGTTTAGTCCGACCGCACATTAAAGGACAGCAATTAGACAATATAAAGGGGTAAAAATAAATTAATGACTAAAATCCAGTGTCTTTGACTTTCAGGATTTAAATCAGTTTTTGTTCAAATTATTGTACAATTATTTGGTTTGGATTGTGATAAGATAAACTTTATTGGTGCCTCACTCGGGACATTTAAGAAACATAACAAATAACATAAATAAATGAATACAAAAGCTTTAATGTGTTATTTGGTGTATTAATGCTTACCGTCCTAAAAACATTCTTGTAGTGACTTTTAGAATTCATCTCAGTTATTTCCAGCTGTTGTTTTCATGATATTTATTTTCTGTTTAATCTACAGGGATCCTAATGTGGGATCTAAGCACGGATATAATGATTTTAAGGGAGTTTTTTATATTTTAAGATATTGCTGTGTCATTGCAATATCCATATATTGATTTAAGAAGGGTAGCAGGCGCTGTTATCGTCTATATAACTCCCCTTTTCTCTCCTAACATACCTAATTTATCTATTGGACGTCCTGTAGTTCATTTTGTTTGACTTGGCACTTACTCCATCTAATTAAAATCCACACAAGAAAAAAACACAACTTGTAGTGTTTGTGCAAATGACAGTAACCTTACTGTATTGTTTGCTGTCATGTTGACGTCTGGCTGTTTTATTTGTGCTGTATGAGTGCACAGAGTGTGTCCCACAAAGTAAAATGTTCACTTTGCGGCCTGCAGCGTCCTTCCAGCGTCCTGCATGAGTCCAGCTCTTCATTGTAAGTCAGTAAGTAAGACTTTCAGTAAAGTCACCACTCAGCCTCAAATGATGTGTTTATGTGGGGAAAAAAAGAAATGTCCACACAAAGACAGAAAGTCCCCACACAGTCAGACTCATCAGATCCATGAGTCAATATGAAAACAGATGAGACTCAGTGGGGGGTCGGCCACAGTTCAGGAGTTCAGCAAACGATCTGGTTGTCACGCACAGGGTGTAGGTTAATGATTCAGTTCACATTACAGTCAGCTGTTCAAACTTTAAAAGCATCATAAACACACAACAATTCTTATTCATGGCCAGAAAAAAAAAAAACAATTTTGACTCACAGTAGCATCTTATCATTTATTATTAGAAACAATCTTTGCCAACACACATTTATATTCATTATTGGTCACAAGTTTCAGACAAAATAGAACATTTCTCCCATTTTTTTGCAGTATAACTACAAAATATAATTGACTGTTCAGGTTAACTTGAAATCAAATAGTTAGGAGACGCTGCCCCCTAGTGACTAACAGAATGAGTGCAGCAGAGTGTGTAATTATCAAGACTGAAGAAATGATACAACAGCTGAAAAAACCATCCTAATGATGGTCTTGATAGAAACACATCAGCTTGTTTCAACATCCACTCTGATAAGGGTTAATGCTACTGAACCGACACCCAGCTGAGCAGAGAAATTCTTGGTACGGGTGTGAAACCTGTCCTGAAATCCAGCAAACATACACCAGTTAGGAGCAATAATTCAAGAACAAATGTTTTGGGACCCTTATGGCTTCATAAATAGCCCAACTCAGTGATATGCAGGACAGTAGATGTTGCATATACTGTATGAACTACTAAGCATGACCGGGTTTGCATGCAGCCTGTCATAAAGGAAGCTTGAAAGACTGCATGTGAGCAGCCACCATTTCTTACAATACTTTTTTGATGAGGTTAAGGGACTTTTTATATTAGTCAACAATGTCTTGCAGTAGTTGTAAACAGAAGATAGACTCAAAAGAGAGAAAAAACAAGGAACAAACAGTCCTGTGTACCAAACTCCACTGATAAAATATCAATTTTAACTCATCAAACTGTTTAAGAGCCTGTGGCACTTTGATCAGACGACATGATGGAGCTAAATCTGTATTCATCCGACCCTCAGTGTAAATTTTAGCCTTTTTAAACTTTGACTCAACCTGCAGCTCATCTGGTGATGTTTGTGTTCAGCAGCGAGCTCTGAAAGCATCCGAGGCAACAGGTCTGTCCTGTCAACCAAACACATCATTCTGAAAGACGATCATTTGGTGTTTAAAAATCACGAGCTAATGACCAAAATGATTTCTGCTCTTCAGTTTGAGTCCATTTGACCTCAGTGTGGATGGACATCACAGATTGCTCTTCCATTTGCTGCTCTGAGAAGATTCGTTCACTGGGAGGAAAACAAAGTCACAGTCAGAGCAAAAACCTGTTTTCTTCATAACCAACAGACCTCTTTACATAAATATTTGTGTCTTTTGGTGGAAATGTTTAAATCATGTTTTTTTGCAGCAGCAGTGCGACATGACATACCCACACTGATTCTGCCTTCTTTCTCCAGTTTCTTTAGATGATGAACCAGGTTCACATTAGCTGCTTGGTGCAGGTATTCAGGAGTGTCCTGGAAAAAAGGAGGAAAACATCAGCATCGCATCAGGCTTGGACTGGATTTCATGGTCAAAGAGTGGCAGCTCGTGGGGTTGGTTGCAGGCTGTGTGATACCAGATCACTTTTGCAGACTACAGAGTAACAATAGGTTGGTATATTTACGCATTTTGAGGAACTAGACAGTTTTGTGTGGAAGATGGATGCCGTTTGATGAGCTCACCTGGACTGACAGAGACTACACTTCACACCTGGTCTGTCCTACAGGTTAGAAAACACTTCAAAGCAGCAGAGTTTTTTTTTTCTTCCTGACCTTATAGACGATCTTGACAAGCTCCATGGAGGAGAAAGGCTTTCCTGCTCCATCCTGAATAGCTGCCAGGATCTGTTGTTCTCGCTGGTCCCGGTGGCTGATGTAGTGTCTGATCTTGGAGCCAGCATCCTGAACCACAGGGCCGTGACCTGCACAGAGAGGTTTCCTCCAGTCATCTGAGAGGCTTTTTAATCAACAAGCACCAGAGATCAGAGGAGCAACACCGACGATCAACGGAAAATGAAAAGATAAAGAGTCTGAGGAGTAAAACAGCAAATATTCACTAGTTCCACCTTCTGAAAGCTGTGTGTGAACAGACACAATGTGAGAACTTTTGGGCCTGGAACAGTGTGTCGGGTGTATTTCTGTTGTTTTTAACAGTTAATAAGTTTGAAGGAGCGATTAATGTTTTTACCATTAATCATAATTGCAGCCCTAAGTGATCGTATCTTTATGGCAAATGGACGTAGAAAAAACTGAGAGAATTATTATTCAGTTGGACTGTTTGAATAATAATCAGCTACAACAAGCCTGAGCGATGAATGATAAAGTCGTGACTGTATTTGTTTTTAATTCCTGCAGATGCTTGAAACAAACACAGTGACTTTATATTGTTGTTGTGATGTGATCACATGGTAAACTGAACATTTGACTGGTTCCAACTCTCTAAAGTAAAGATTTGGTTTCTCTGTTCCAAAAAAAAAAAAGATCTAAACTGTCATATTTGGGCCTGAAACAGTGTGTTGAACATATTTCTCTATTTTTAACAGTTAATGAATCTAAAAAAGGACTGATTCATGTTGTTAAAGATGATCATAACCCTGAGTGACTGGATGTTTATGGTGAATGCATGTCGAGAAAACAGTGAGAATTAATATTAAATGAATCTGTTGGATTAATATTAAACCAAAAAAATGATGCAGAAGCGTGCAACAAATAGTGACAGAATACTGCTTTAAAGTTCTGCTGATGAAGTTCCTGCCGGATGCCTGATATTATTTACATGGAACATGAGAACCGAACATGTGACGAGAAGGTTCCTGGTTCAAACCCTTGACCAGCAGGACAAATCTGGGTGGGAAACTTATCATTTACTCCCTCACTGCTGAGGTACACTAACTTGAGCAAGGCAGTAAACCGCCGGCTGCCACAGCGCCTGGACTCCCACTGAGCTGCTCTGTGTTCTCCACAGTGGAGCAAACGTGAGCGTGTCTTTGCTCACCGGGGTAGATGAGTTCAGCTCGAGAGTCCAGCAGGACATTCAGGGACTTCATGTAGTCGTAGAGGTCCTCAAACACGGCCGTGCCCTCGCCCAGGATGCAGTCTCCGGAGAAGAGCGCCTGCTCCTCCTCCAGCAGCAAGGCCATGTGGTCGTCAGTGTGGCCCGGCGTGAAAAGCACTCTGGGAAAGAAAGGACAGTAGCCATGACAGCATGCAGGATAACACTCAGCAGCTTCAGTATCATGTGTAACATTTCATTTTCATGTGCAATGTTTTACTTTGATCTCATTTTCAGGTGCAATACTGAACTGTCATGTGCAACCTTTTGATTACATGTACAATATTTTACTGTCAGTGTAATGTGCAATATCTCATTATGATGAGTGACATTACGTTCTCATGTGCAGCAGTTTGATTATAAGTACAATATTTCACTTCATGTGTAATATTTTATTATGATTTGTAACATTTCATTTTCATGTGCAATATTTTAAGTACACATGAATTTCCCTCTGGGATTAATAAAGTCAGTCTGAGTCATATTTCACTTTTGTGCAAAACATTTTCAATATAATATAATGTGCAATATTTCATTGTTATACTTTCTTCCTGTTCTACTGTAGCCTTGTTTCAGCTCACTTCATTTATTCCTGTCATGTATCGTACTTATATCTGATTGGGTTTCAACGTTTTAAGCACTAAATTTCTTCTGCGACCTCATTTTGTTTTTTCTGAGCAACATCTGGCACAAGAAATTATTACTTCCAGTTTAAAAAAAACGTTCTCTATGTCCAGAAGTTGCATATAAAGTAAACTGACTTGAGTGTGGCTCCTTCTGTCTGGATGACGTCTCCATCTTTCAGGTAAGTGTAGCTCCTGGTCCCGGCTGTTTCGTGGACTCGACTGGAGCGAGGAAGTTTGCTGACTCGGACCTCAGAACCTGCAGGAGGGAAACAAAGACATATTAATATTTTTCATTCTTTTTCTTGCGTCTACACAGGTATGAAAGTATAAACTAGACCGTGAGCAACTGATCACACTGATTTGAAAACAAACCAACCTTTTGTCCATACCTGTATTTTCTGGACTGATTTTTATTTTTAGTTGCAGTAATATTACACATATGAGCAGTGACAAACTTCACACAGCATTAGAGGCTGCAGGAGTCATCAAACCCACACAGACAGGCCTCACCAGTGACGTCCCTGCAGACATCCTCCACTCCGCCCGTGTGGTCGTGATGCCAGTGTGTGACGATGATCTCCTGGATGCTGGTGTTGAACTGGTTCAGCGCCTGCTTCAGGCTGCTGATATATTCAGGCACAGCAGGTTCCCCAGTGTCTATAAGCACCCGTCTGCAACACAGGCACTTGTTATAGATTCATAGTAGCGGCCCGTGTTCATGAACATCAGTCCTACTCACACATTAACTACTGTCACATTTATTTGCATTTGTTTGTGGCTTGCTTTGCTTTAATTGTAACATGTGTATAAATCATTGTACAGAAGTAGTGTATTTATTGAGTACTGAATAGGGATAAATGGATTATTGAAATGAAATGAAAATGAAATGAAAAATACTTTATTTATCCCAGAAGGGAAATTCAATCTTATTGGGGCTGACATTAGGTATTTTTCCGATTATCTGTATTTTTATTGGTCGATTGCTGATCAATTAAAGGCTCTACTTCAGGTCTGATGCCGCCTCCTCTCTCTGTCTGTCATCGATCTGTGGTCTCAGAAATGTCTCTAAAGCAAAAACTGAACAAGAAACACAAGCTGTTGCTGCAAATCATGAAACTAACTTCTCTCAGAGTGGCTAAGGCTAAGCTAACGGCTAGCAGCTAAGTTAAATGGCAGCCACAGATTAACCTGAAACAGAGTCTGAAAACAATAATGAACACTAATGCTTTAAGTTAGATGGACCTCAGTGGACAATAAAAGTGAAATATTAAGAAAACAGAGAATAACAGCAGATGTAACTGCAGAAGACAAAGTGATCAATCAATCTCTCTTTGTAATTAAATAAAGAATAAAAAACGATCCCCATATATTTTGCAACTCAGTGACACATATATTACGGTATATCAAAATTAAAAATAAACTTGTACACAAGGATAACTTTAGGGCATCAAACATGAACCATTTCTTTCTCAGATTTGGTCGAAATACTTTAAACAGTTCTAAAATCCGCGGGTCAAACTGCTCCACTCCCTACTCATTAAAGCCTCCCAAACTTCACATAAGGCAGTTTAAATCTGCTTTTAGAACCTGTGTTGCCTTCTTTGTCGACTTTATTGAACAGATGTAGCATCACACAGCAGCAGGAGCCAAACTGAGGCAGGAGCTGTGTAGATTTTCACATCTGGCACAGCAGATAACTTTACTCATTATTTCCGTCTTCTGATGAGCTGCTGCACAGACTCACAGTGAAGTCGTTTGGTTGAACTTGAACTTTGGAAACAGTTTTTACATTTTTCTAAGTGTATGAAGTTCATTCTTACGAAGCATTTTCAGATTTGCAGTTGAAATTCAACAATGTTTGCATTAGTGTCCTGACTGCAAGCATGAACTAATTACTGAAGGAAATAAAAACAAGGGAACGGACTCCTATGAAGTTATTGTGCTCAGTCTATAAGTTACTGTAGAGTTTTGTATGGCTGGAATATCAGCGTTTCTGAACCATCAATTAAACATATAATGAATAAAACACAGTCTTCCATATTGATGCATATCGTCAACATTTTAACAGAACTACTACTTTCAGCGATATTGTTTATTGAGTCAGTATACTGACAGTAATCTTATCGGTAGTTTTTGATCGTTTATTTTATTTTTCAAGAGAAAAAAAATAAAGAAATTAGGCAAAGTATAAAGACTGCTTTATTTTCTCATATGTATGAATTAAATCTATAAATTAAAATGAGTACAGACACTGAGGTCGTGTTGATTGGATGATCAGAGCTCTGTGGACAGCGTCACAGGTTTTACTCACAAATAAAACAATCTGCAGCGAGTTTCATTAAACTGTCCAGCATTAGATCAGAATTCAAAGCTCCACCTTGAACAGGTAAATGCCACTACATTGTGCTGATAAAACCTATTTCACACTTCACGTTTGAGTATGACACTAATGCAGTGACTAATGTGTGATTTTTAATAGTTTTAGTGAAGAAAACAGCTGAAGTATTTCTTCTACCAGTTTGTCTGCAGCCCTCAAATCACTAAATCCTGATCAGACGATTCTCTGAATTTGAACTGAATTCATGAACACGAGTAAAACAAAGTTAAACAAACAGTTGGAGAATACTTGGTTTCGATCATTAGCCCATGTTAGTATAGTTTAGTTAACTCAGTTAATCATTGATAACATACATAGTAAGTGAGAGGTCAACTAGGAGCTCAAACATTCCTGCATCTGCATGTGATTCATTTTCCAGATTTCTGCTCTACGTCCTGTTACTCTGCAGCAACGTACATTTTGTGTATAATCAGCAGAAATAAGGCAACTAAAATGAAACCATTTATTACACTCAGTCTATAAGTTAGAGTAGATTGTATAGTTTAGTCAGTGTAAGCATATCTGTTTTATTCATTTGTCCACTTTCTGTATGGCAGGAATACCTGTTTCCTAAATCATCATCATCAAGCGTCTTTGAGTTTTTGAAAAGCGCTATACAAATAAAATGAATTATTATTATTATTATTATCAACTGAAAACATGATAATAATTAAACTAATCTGCTTCAGTGGATCTGGGTGTGGGTTTTTATATATATATATACATATCGGGGGTGCTGTATTAATATATTTAACCTGTTGTTTAATCCAGATTACCAAAAGGTGCAAAAAGTAGGCAGATGAAACTAAAGCCATGGGGCTATTTAGAGACTGAATTTGTGACATCTGCCAATACAATATGGGGGAGTGACATCTGGGTTTGTGGTACAACATTAAAAATTAATTAAATTCACAAAACTCAGCTCTATATGCAGAGTTTTATTTTGACCTATTTCCTACTGAAGAAATCGTCCTTATTTTTTTACTAGTGTTTTCTGTCTGCAGTTTGATCTATGAGCCCAGAGCTCATTGAATATCAGCTTCCTCTCCTCATATTCCTGCTGATATTATACAGTATTAATAATATTTCCTATATGAAGTGTATGCCGATATAAGCAGTAGATCGTGGTAATTTAATGCACTCTTCGAGTTTTGTTCTATTCGCCATGTTTTATGTCTTTCAAGCAAAACAAAGTTAAATTTAGAAAATTTTAAATGGAGTTCGGTGTGACGACTTTAACAGGAAACACACTGAACATTCCTGTACTGTCAAACCAGAGACGCTCCGTAGCGGAACATACATAAAGTCCGCTTCGTGTGGTGACAATAACAAACGTCGGTTCGGTTGCCGTCACCTTGGCCCGGTGCCCACCAGGTACGTGTTGGTTCCCTGCAGAGTCATCGGTCCCGGGTTGCAGCCCAGGACCCGAACCACCCGGGCTGACAGCTGCTCGATCCGGGGCAGAATCGCGCTCATGTCCGCGGCTCAGGTGATGTTAGATGAACGCAGCACGCAGGTGAAAGTTCACGAGAGCCTCACCAGACCGGATCTACAACAGAGCCCGTGTGTGCGTAAAAAAGCGGCCTTCAACATAAAAGTCACTTTTTCAAAATAAAAGTCTCCGCGTCATTGAGTAGAAGTAAAGAA